AAGATGCTGAGAGTTTCCCAGTTGAAACTATGGTTAAGTCTGTCCATGTGTTGTGAGATTAAGGAGTTTTCATCATGTCTTCTAACGGCTAGCTGGTGTTCATGGATGCGCTCTGCAAGCCTTCTGCCTGTCTGTCCTACATAGTGGTTGTTACAGTCCTTACACTGTATGTTGTAGATGACTCCTGTTTTTTCTTCTTGGGGTCCTAGGTCTTTTGGTTTGCTTAAGATGTTTTGGAGGGCTTTAGTTGGTTTGTGTGCTACAGAGATGCCATGTGGTTGTAATAGTCCTGTCTGTCCTACATAGTGGTTGTTACAGTCCTTACACTGTATGTTGTAGATGACTCCTTTTTTCTTCTTGGGGTCCTCGGTCTTTTGGTTTGCTTTAGATGTTTTGGAGGGCTTTAGTTGGTTTGTGTGCTACAGAGATGCCATGTGGTTGTAATAGTCTGTTGGTAGTTTCTGAGATGTTTCTAATGTATGGGAGTGTTATCCTTTTCATAGCTTGTGTTTCTGAGAACATCTACATGCTATTCAAAAGAGAACAGGGGATTTAGCCTGTTTTCAAGTGGAAAGTTGACACATTGCTGCATTAAGGTGCTCCACACCTATGAAGTGTCACTTGGGCTGTCTACCTGTCTTCTGGAAGAGAACTGAATCTGTGTCCAAAACCTGAGCTGACATGCTGCAGGAAGGGAGGATGGGTGTGTGTACAGCAGGAGGGAGAAGTAAATGCATTTATGCAGGCAATGCCTCTGCAGAAGCCAGGAGTCTGGTCTCTGACAGCCCCTGCCCTAATGGGCATGAAAGGCAACACTGGAAGGGAGGGGCATACCTATAGGAGTCTGAAATGGCCAATAGGAGCTGGGCAGATCATAGCCTATGGCTGCGTCATAGTTAACATCATTAATGAAGCATCATAGATCACTACATCAAAACTGGAACAACTAAAGAGGACTAGGCTGCCTCTGCAGTGGGTTGGGGATGAGATATCGGGGCATGTCCTTTAAGAAGGGCTAGCAGAGCACCTTATATTAGTGGCATGTGAGTTCTGCATCCCGAAGCTGGAGAGACGAATGGGGAATCTTGTAGTCAATTTCATTGTGTTGCTTATCCAGTTAGACTTGCTGAAAAGAAGCCACCGGTTGTGGAGGTGGTCCGGTTTGGAATGAGGTATATAGTTCAACCAAACTCTCTATTTCAACCCGCTTATCAAGGAAACTTGGTAACTGTACCTTGAGATCTTGACAGGTTATGACAGGTATGGTTTTCTGATGTCTGTTGCATTCTTCTGTCTCCATTCTGATCCATGATAACCTGATGCACGGTCTCCTCTTTTCCCCATTACCAGAGGCCCCTGTAGATGGGCTGTGTTTGGTGACAGGAGAGTTTTGGGAATATTCCTCCAAGCTTTCACACCCTGAAAACCATTTGTTCTGCTAATGCTTAGGTCACTTGGGGTCTGGAAGTAATGGAGGAAGAATCTACTGCAAAGCAAAGGAAAGATATGTTAAACATGCTGTGCAAACAGAAGTAACAGATAAAATATATCCAAAAATATATATCCCATTAACATTTAGGGCTTTTGTAGGCAGCCTGTGCATTGCACCAAAAATGTGTAGGGAATTCAGATATATTATGTGATGTAAATATCCCTGTTGTTTTCTTTTCTTTTCCTTTTCAAGTGTGACGAATAGCAATAATGTGTGGAATGTGGACACCAAAATGCACTAGTTATCCTTGGTCATTCCTATGACATCAATAGTGATGAGTGGCATAATGCTTAGATCACTTGTGAATATTCTGAAGTTTAATTTTATTTGCATTAATGTTATTATA